CCGTTACTCTGTGAATGCCATCAGTCGGAGGTGAGAGGAGGTTTGAACTGTTAATCATTGTTTGCATGAAGTTAACGTCAGGTGTGACTCACTGTAGGTTAATGAGCAGGTTACAGAGACAGCAGACAGCCTCCTCCTCCACCTACACACAAACTACAGGCCTCATTTCAACATTAAACTACCTTTTAACACAGCGTGGGACGCAGGTCAGAGCTCTGCCGCTGGATGCTGCATGTTTCCTGAACACAGTCAGACTTTTCCTCTGCAGAGCTGTCACATTTCCTGCTTTTACTGTGTCGCACATTCCTTCACATTGACTCATTGGACCCACAAAAACACACTGATAAGACTGAATATGGCTTGATAAAGGATTTCAGGTTTCGGTAACTGCGCTGTTTTGTCAGGGGTTCACAGACACAGGTACATTTTCAGTCTTCTTGAGAGCTGATGTGCACTTTATGGCCACTAATTATAGTTTTAGTTTTAAAGTTATAACATACCCTGTAGGGCTGCAGTTACCTTTTCATTTTCATTTTTGATTGATGCAAATTAAGATATTTATGTCTATAAAATGTCCAAAAATAGTGAAAAATACCCTTTCATGGTACTGTATTTAATGGCTTATTTCACTTGATCAACAGTCTGACACTAAAAATATTTCATTTACTTTTATAAATGATGAAGAAAAGCATAAAATCCTCACACCTGAGAACCTGAGAGCAGGAACTGTTTGACATTATCGCTTGAAAATTAACTAAACCGATGAATCATCTATTGTAGCAGCTCTATCATAGTATATTGCACCTTTAAAGTACAGCTCCAACATTAAACATTGTGCCTTAAAATATTTTATACACAGCAAACTGTAGTATACAATACAAACAGGCCTATAACAGCACAATTTTAAGCCCCTCTGGGATACTGTTATCTTATCTGAGGAGATAAAATAGGGGAGACTGGGGTCGGTTGGCACACTTTTCATGCTCATACTTACTTCTCTATTATTTACGTTAGAATATTCTGAGCAGCAGCAAATGAAAGGTTAATGTCTCAGCTATCATTAAATGTGTTTTAATGTACAAAAATGTTTTCTAACATTAGCTGATTTGTAATTAAAGTCATCTCAAGGTTGGTCGGCACAATGTTAAAATGCTGTAGTTATAGATAAATAAAGCAACCAAAAGGGACAATTTGAACATTTCATTCAAACAAGATCAGGAAATCATGAATGTTTAATGGAATATCTGCCCATTTTAAAAACAAAACACCAATACAGTTACAACTACTGATCATACAACCCCCAAATGAGTGAACCAGCTAACTCCGCTCAAATCTGACCCAACTTCGTGATGACATTATGTTAGCCAGCTACCATCACTCATCATTAAAATCATGTGGCTGACTATTTTGTCAGTTAACTTGAAGTAACATGTTTAACAATATCTCTACATAAAAGACCACAGACCACTGGACCTTCCTCAAGTGTGTTCAACGCCATTATTTTCAACATTGAGCTTAAATAGAAACTGCTCAAAGACTGAAGTGATATTTTCCAACACATCTGAGTCTGAGACAGCTGGATGTGGGAATACCTTCCTTCAAACTGACAGACCTACTGTAAAACTGAAATGTTACGTCACCAAAAAAGAAGTGACTCTCAGATATTTTAACATGGTATTAAAAACCAATGTTACAAAGTGCTTTAGACATAAAACCATACCAATTAAACGCACATGCACACAGGAAGAGACTTGTAAGAACAATGGATAAATATAAAAACTGTAAATACAACACAAAGGAAAAATCTAAAAGCAATGGGTAAATTTAAAACTAAAATAGAGCATTGCAAGTCTTGAGTGCAACAGGAGTAATGTATAGTGTAACTTGTTGATTAAGAATAAAAGTAAACCTTTAAAGGAGCAGAAAAGGCTGTGTGCCAACCGACCCCGGTCTCCCCGATACTATGGAATCTGCCCAATATTGAACACAGACACTATAAACCCTATAAGGATTATTAGGATTGTCCCATAACCCCCTGTCGTGTTATTAAATCGTTAAAAACGGGGTGAACCATCTCCATAATATCGCAATTATCTCGTTTAATTCACCTTAATAAGATTTAAACCCTAAAACAAGCACTTTACAGTGTGTAATACAGATACAGATATGGAGCCAGCTCTGAGCAAGACGTTTATAGGATCAACCTGTTGCGCTGTCGTCGTAATAAAAACACATTTTAGTAGAGTAGACATATTTAAGTGGAGGGAATAAGGCTTACCTGATGCTCCCAGTAAAATAGCCAGCCGGTAAAAGTTCATCATACAGTCCGTTTTATAGTAAAGTGCAGTTTGTCCGCATGTTGGTGCTTCTGGTTGGTGTCCGCTAAGTGCTGCAGTAAACAGGACTCTCAGACTAACGGGACTGTACCACTTCAGACAGAGGTGGGTCCAAACACAGCAACCATCTCAAATACTCACACCTCCTGAGGTACTGTCTCCATAAAACACAACAGTAAGTGGTGTTTCTATAAGTTATGTTTTTATAGGCTGGAATCTAGTTGTAGTTTTAGCGGCGGGAGTAGCAGCAGAGCTCATCTGGCAGAGTAGCGAGGTCTGTCCGGTGTAAGGTGGAAGACGGATGGGAGGAGGAGGAGGAGGAGGAGGAGGGGGGAGCTCCATAATTAAATCAGGTCAGACATGGCTGTGAGTTTTGAGGAATTTTTACTGCACACAAAACGGCGACATGTGACCCACTTTCTTTATTGAACTTGATTTAACTTTGTCTTCATATAAAAAAAAATAGCCCACATCAATGGGAAGTCAATGGAAACCATTTATTACACACAACAAAAAAAAAAAACAAAAACAAAAAGTTGCTCACAAAGATCACTGTAAGGAAATTCAATTCAGTAAAATCAAACCGATAAAAAAGCAAAAACATAATTAGCAATACAAAGAGTTTTTCCACACACATGTTAAAGATACGTTTTAAAATACACTAAATGTCCACTTTATTAGGTACACCTGTTCAACTGCTTTTAAACACAAATAGCTAACCAGCCAATCACATGGCAGCAGCTCAATACATTTAGGCATGTAGACATGGTCAAGATGACCTGCTGAAGTTCAAACTGAGCATCAGAATGGGGAAGAAAGGTAATTTAAGTGACCCTGAACGTGGCATGGTTGTTCTTGGAGTATTTGAGAAACTGCTGATCTACTGGGATTTTCACACACAACCATCTCTAGGGTTTACAGAGGATGGTCCCAAAAAGAGAAAATATCCAGTGAGCAGCAGTTCTCTGGGTGAAAATGCCTTGTTGATGCCAGAGGTCAGAGGAGAATGACCAGACTGGTTCAAGATGATAGAAAGGCAACAGTAACTCAAATAACCACTGGTTACAACCAAGGTCTGCAGAAGACCATCTCTGAACCAACAACACGTCCAACCTTGAAGCAGATGGGCTACAGCAGCAGAAGACCACACCAGGTGCCACTCCTGTCAGCTAACAACAGGAAACTGAGGCTACAGCTCACACAGGCTCACCAAAACTGGACAATAGAAGATTGGAAAAACGTTGCCTGGTCTGATGAGTCTGGATGAGCCTCCACAGTCACCAGATCTCAATCCAATAGAGCACCTTTGGGATGTGGTGGAGCGGGAGATTCGCATCATGGATGTGCAGCTGACAAATCTGCAGCAACTGTACTAGCAAGATGTACCTAATAAAGTGGCCGGAGAGTTTAGATTAAAATCTAGTCCAGATTCGGCTGAGGCACTTTATTACCTTTGATTACAACTACACATGAAAAGGAGACTTAAAATCAAAGATAATGTACACATTTATATGACAGAAGAATAGTATTTTTTTTGCCTGAAACTATTTCTTAACACCTATGCCCGAATTACTGCAGTAGATAAGGGCCTGAATATGTGTAGTTAAGGCATTGGGCAAGTAATCATGAAAAACAAAACAAAACAAAAACTATAAAAAGAAAAAAACAAAAACAATATCAATGCTAAAAAAGTATCTAAAAATTAAATGTTCTGTTGTTAACATCACAGGATTTGAGCTGCAGAGTTGATTTCATCATACAGCAAACACTAAATTTTTTATATCAAATACATATGTGTTATATATGTTGACAGCACCTTGGCTTCGAGGACCTTGGTCAATAAGTAATGAAACAACACAATATGTAAATTTAAGTCAGGTTACCTGAAGGCTAATGTATTCTGGTTTCAACCCAGTTTGAATCAGGATGCTCCCAGTCAGCTAACTGTAGAGACTCTGTGAAATGTGACTGTTATGCAGTGTCTATACTGGCCATACTGGGTTTTCTGGACATAAAAAACCCTTTCTGACATAAAGCTCTAGTTTTATTCACGTTGATGTTTAGAGAAAGTACTTTATTCTGTTTTATACTATATGGTCAATGAAAATAATTTTAATTCTTGTTTTGTGAAGATGTTTATCATCATCATCATCATCATCATCCGAAACATACTTCTGATTTATAGTTCAGCTACCTTGTGAACATCAGGTAACTCGCTGCTGGCAACTTTTAAGGTGGAATGTTAATGTGATGTTACTCAGTGCATGAATTGATGACGTGAATCCATCAACACACCTTAAATTTCACTGTGACAACTTTGACCATAACCAGTTTTTATATGACATACACTTTTGGTAATGAGTGGATCTTCAAGTGTCAATATATATTAATTTCGGCCGGATTATATAAAGCGCGCATATTAAAATCCTCACTCTGAGGGGAAAAAAGTGGCATGGAGCGTTGTTCCTGTGAACTCCAGCATCACTAAATCCCTGAGCTTGCCTGAGAAGGACTAAATGCACAAACCTGCTATTTTTAAATATCCCATGGAGAGACTCTCACTGCAGCCTGTTTTATTTTGTTCTGAAAACGTCGACATGCAGCCTCGTTCTGTGGACGATGAACGAGGTGCAGACTTCCCTCTGTGTCACCGGTAATAAGGAAATACAGTGAGTGCTGGACGGAGCAGTGAGTGACAACAACCCCGCCCACATTTAAGGGGACTGTTTGCAGTGGAGTAGGGTGGACTAGGGTCTAGGTATCATGTCTGAAGGGTTACTTTGGGTTCCAAAGGTACCATAACAAAAGTGTTGGGTAGAAACAGGGCTAATGTCACCAAGCTTTGAGCACCACCCTACTGTAAAATTCTCAAATAGTGGCCGTAATTTACTTCAGTAGAAGAGATAATCAGACTCTTGTGTTGGACAGGCTTATATAAGAGACAAGCCTCTACTTCTTATTTCGACTCTTCCCTACACTATGATTTGAATACTGGCTTCTACATGATAATTTATAATATTTGTGAGGATGCACAAAATAATTTTACTTTGGCTGTTTGTGACGGGGAACTAAGCCAATCCATAAACCCAATAAAATGTTTTAGTGCATAAAAGAAAAGATTTTAGAGCGTTATAACAATCAGTAACACAAGGTTATTAATACCGGTTTCTGCTTTGATCGTCATTGTAATCAAGGCGGTCACGGCTGCCTCTGTTACGATCACACTGGTCATCAAGGCGATCACGGCTGCCCCCATAACGATCACGCTGATCGTCAAGGCGATCCCGACTGCCTCCATAACGTTCGCGCTGATCATCAAGGCGATCCCGACTGCCTCTGTAACGATCGTGCTGATCGTCAAGGCGATCCCGACTGCCCCCATAACGATCGCGCTGATCATGAAGACGATCCCTACTGCCCCCGTAACGATCATGCTGATCGTCAAGGCGATCGCGACTACCTCCATAACGATCACGCTGATCGTCAAGGCGATCGCGACTACCTCCATAACGATCACGCTGATCGTCAAGGCGATCGCGACTACCTCCATAACGATCACGCTGATCGTCAAGGCGATCACGACTCCCACGGCGGCGATCATGCTGATCGTTCTGGTAACGCTGAGAGTCAACATCACTGCCCTTGCCATCGTACCTTTCTTTGCTGCTATTATAACTGTGGTGATCGTCCTCAAACTTGTGTGCAGCTGGTTCTTCGCTGTAATTGTTTGGAGGAAGGCCTTTGACTTCATGCTGGTTGACCTGCTTTGTCTCGCCCTTCGACTTGTCATCCAAGTACGGCTCTCCAGCTTCAGGAGCGTCTCTGTCATAATACGCCGTTTCTTCAGGGGAACTAAAAGACAGACAGATGTGAAATACACAAAAGAAGACAAAATGGTGAGACTGGGTTGTTGGATGATTAGATACTAACAAAAAATACACAAACATAACTGTTGAAGGTAGTTTACAGTGGCAAAAGCACACAGGATATTTCACACATACCCTTCAGCATACTTCTCCTTTTTGCCCTTTTTCTTGCAGCAACAGAAGATTAAAATTGCCAGCAGCACAACTCCTGCGAGGACTCCTGCAATTATACCTGCAGTGGACCCAATGTTCATGCTCCCTGCGGAGAAAGGAGGAAACACAAGTGGTGTTCACGCTGCAGATAGACCAGAGCTAAGATCAGCAGGTAAATCATGTTAAAACACTCACCAGGAGTCACAACTAAGGTATAGTTGCATCTGGCAGAACCAATACGATTTGTTGATGTGCAAATGTAGAACCCAGACGTGTCTTTTGAAATATTGAACAGAGATAGAATTCCATGGTCTGAAACATAATGACAAAGATTAAGGTTAACTACAATTACGGCCTCATGGTTGTATGCCTCCGCCAAGCAGTCAAGTTAAAGTTACAATTTACATCATATCCGCCCAGACTCATATGTAGCCATGACAGTTGACAATACTTCAAATATGGATGTTGCTGCAAAGAAGCTACATATTCTAGAACATGGATGCTTCACACACATCTTCAACCCGACAGCACAGAGGATCTATACAATCAGCACAGTTTTAAGGTGGACACCCAAGATGAGTATCACCAAATGAGTATCGACCAAATGTCTCCCCTTCTGTTCCTAAGATACAGGGCCGGAGTGGGACTCATTTTCAGCCCTGGAGTTTCATGCCTCAGACGGGCCCACAGTTTTGGGCCCACGACCTATTATAACCTTACATGTTAAGTCTACAACAGCGCACTGTTCTCTAAAGCCTTGTAATTCAGTGTATTTTTCTAAAATATTTCCAATTCAGTGCAAGTAAGGGTTGCTTCACAATGTAGATTTATTTCAACATGAGTGCACATCTCCAACATTATTCTTAACAACACAACATCCTTTTCAACAATATCAGAATCTATATTCTGTTCAAATAAGTGTTCACAGATATCCAAACCTTAAAAATGAAATAAAAGAATTAATAAAAATATTAAATATTACATTTGAAAAAATAAAATTCTACATCTCTGAGGCGACATCTTTCCACATACGGGCTTCCTTCACCTTTCATATGGGACAGAGTTCCGTGGGAAACAGTAGACGAGACACAGCCCGAGGGGGAACCGGGATCTGACACAACACCGGAGGGAGAAGCAGGTCCGTGGAGCTGTGCGCCGGACGAAACCCATCGCTTGGGTTGTGAGCATGCATGACGCACGTCTACATTAAAAGTAATGGGTTTGTGTGTGCAAAAGACGCTACATCTGAACGCCCCCCATGCACACACACGTCAGGGTGTGTCTGCAAAAAAAAAAAAAAAAGAACTGCCAGTGGAGGCGGCCCAGAGACAGTGGTAGGGTTACAATGGAATGGAAGGTTACAATGACCTTGACCTATGATCAGCAAGTTGTCATCACTTCATTGCTGAGTCCAAAAGGACATTTGTGACAGATTTGATGAGATTCTCTTGAGACATTCTTGAGATATTGCATTTATGAGAATGGGACGTATGCATGTACAACCCGAAAACATAATGCCTCCGACCATAGGCGTAACTTTCAGGGGGGATGCAGGGGACATGTCCCCTCCAATATTAAGAAGAGATGAAATTGTCCCCCCCCCCCAAAAAAATAACACCAATGACAACCCCCTCTCCTAAAGAGGTAAAAATCACAGCCCAGCGGTTGTAAACACTTAAATATCTTTCTTAACCATTTCCCAACTATTTCAAACACCCCTAGTGGACCATACCATAATTATATAGTCCAGTACCCAACACGTTGCCTCTCTCAGTTGCTCCATTGCAGAGTTGCCGGTCACGTTGTATGTGGTTAACATTCATAAGCATGCTAATGTCGGAGCAAAGGGTGTTAGCAAAGATAGATTTCTCAAACAAGAAAGTTGAAGATCTTTCGAGAGAGCTACACCAACAGATTGCAAACACCCGTGCCGGACACACCAAGGCAATGAAAGAAGTTGAAAAGGTTAACGCTGTGCATGCTACATGCATCACTAGCCTGGAGGACGGGGCTAATGCCTACTGGGACATGGTCGTCGAACTGGAAAACACTGTGAAATCACTCACCTCCCAAGTAAACCAGCTGGTGGCTAAGACAGAAGACTTGGAATCTAGCTAGCTTGCTAAAACGCGACCGGAGCTTGCTGTTGCTAAGATGCTACAAGATGCGCTAGCCCTCGACTACTCTCCGAAGTTGGACCGGGCTCACAGGAGTCTTCAGCCCAAGCGGAAAGATGGGAACCCATTGTGGTTAAGTTTCACTACTTCCAGGAGAAGGTGGACGTCAAGCGGAAAGCTGCGGCAGCGAGAGCCATCTTCCACAACAACAGGTGGATTCCCATTTACCCCAACTACACACCCTTGGTGAGGGCGAAGCGGGCTGCCTTCAATGAGGTCAGGGGACTGCTGCAGCACTGCCCCGAGGTCAAGTACGGCATCTCATACCTGGCTATACTTCGGATAACTACTCCAGGAGGTGAGCAGAATTCGTTTGATAACGCATCAGAGGCCAGAGCCTACGTTATGAGCAACTTACAGCCATGAGATTCAGAGCGGAATGAGTATTAGTTTCCAGTCAGCATGCTAGCATAATAGCTAACCACTATGTCTAACCCGCTAGCCGCTGGGCAGCCAGACATTATCTATCAGCATTATATGCTAGATGTTTAGGCAAAGACCCTCACTTAATGTGTCCCCGCCCCCACAATGTTGAAATGAAAGTTACGCTCATGCCCCCAACCACGGCTATTGCCAGTGCAGAGGCATACAAATGAAGATCTCTCAGGAACACTCTCAATCCCCGTTCACACATGCAGTCTTTCCCTGAAAAGTTCAGGAACATTTCCTGCATGGGGTTTGGTGCGAATGAGAGCAGGGAGAAATATTCAGGGAAATCTGTACTGCCATTTCCCCTCCTCAAGAACCAGTAACATTTCAGGGTAAATGCTGGTCAGTGTTGGGCTCATTACTCCAAAAATGTAATATATTACTCATTCACTCTTTTCAAAAGTAATAACATTACTTTACTTATCACTGCTAGCAGTAATTTGTTACACTACTGGTTATATTACTTTTTACTTTACTAGTAACATGTTACTGCTCAACACTGATGCTGGTACTGCTGTGTTGTAAAAGGAAAGCAGTAATATTGCAGGGACAAGTATGTAAAGAGTTACATCAAAGACACTGGAGTGAGCGAACCAATCCCAAGACTCTGCTGATGACGTATTTGAATCTATTTGAGATGTGAAGAAATTCCCTCCAGACGACCTTGGGCCAATGAATTCACAAGAATGAGACAGTCAAGGACAATTGCAGTCATGAGAATGGGATGGAAAGACGGACCGACAGACAACCTGGGAGCCAGAGCTTCCACCAGCTCAAAGGCATAAAAATGTTGAGACAGTGGGCCCATGCTTTACATTAACACAGATGAGCAGCAGCCTGGTAACGTTGTTTGGTTCAAAATAACACCTGGACGGTTTAAATACATACTTTGGTTTGCCCGAGGTGGTAAATCTCTGGGAAGGTTTTCAACATTGTAGCTGCTCCAAACATATTCAGGCTGTGGGGATCCCTCCTGGGACGAACAGGTCAGCGTGATGTTGTGAAAGTATGCTGCTTCTCCCTGAACCCTGCAGATTGGCGGAGAGGGAGGCACTGCAAGAAAACAATGAATTTAATATAAAAAGTTGCAATCACTTTACAAAACTTTGCAAGCAGGATCAATTTGACATCTTCATGGAGACAACATATAAATAGACATGGTAAACAGAACTCCCTCTGCACATCCAGTCTCAAGGATCAGGTGCTGGTCTGAGAGTACAAGAGTTACAAGAATGAGATGTGATTTAACCTCATCCCATTATGTTGATGACTGAGATGAAGATTTTTCTAAAGAAAGATAGACTGCAGGTCCTACTTCTGTCCTTCTGTTAAACGGAAAGGGGGAGTGACAGGGAACCCAGTAAATCGACATATCAGTGATAAATACTCACCAAGAACCAGAAGGGAAGTGGTGGCAGCTGTTGTTCCCTCGTCATCGTTGGGGATCATGACACTGCATTGGTAACTGCGGCTGTCCTGCATGGTCACCTTGGTTAAGGTGAGAGTGCTCACTTGATTGTCAAGGCTGACCTCCATCGTGGCTCTGCCTTCATAATTAGGTGCAATGTCGACTGGATTGTTTATAAAGTAAGTGGCCACTGCGTCCTACGGAAATAAACCCAAACATTTTACAAAGATATCCTGTCAATATGATATAACAATACAATATTGTAATCATGTCATCTCAATATTTAACAATATAATGACAGTATAATCTGTGTCATACATTTCACTATGACATAACATAATGTTTAAAGATAGAGGGTATTGTATGCTGTACAAGGTAGAACCCCAAAATGTTTAATATTGAATAGCATTTTAAATCTTGTGTGTGATTTATCCTTCTGGGTTTTATGCTTTGGGATTTATTCTGGCTTCATATGAGCAGAGGAAATCTCCACTCGTTGCTAAGCTAATTTATAGAATGTTAATGTCAGTGAAGCTTGTGAGTTGTAATGAAGCTGAATTTTATAATCCACTGGGCCAGTGCTGGAGAATCAACTTGCAAGAACTTGAGTTGCAACTTATGGCTTTCCTGTTACTTGTCAAAAGTACCTATGATGAATATTTATCTTTGTGTGGGACAGTTTCAGGTATTTTTCCTAAGTATAATGTAACAAATGAGTAGACTAAATCCATCCCAGTTATCTTATGAATCCCGGCTGCAATCTCCTGCCAGTGTGGTTGTATCTTGATAAAGAAACACACAAGGTTTTATATTTTGGCCTATTTGTTGGACAAAACAAACATTTTGATGACTTCATCTTAGACTTGTCAACTTGTCATGTGAAATGCTCACTTAGTCCTGAAATTTTACATTACATTATATACAAAATAATTAACCAAGATACTCAATCTCTACTTAATCTCATGCTCGACTGAATTAAAACTCCAGTATAAAGTCTCAGTCTTGTTACCACCTGGGTTATTTGCAGGAAGTAGTCTTTTCTTATTCAAAGGACAAAGGTCATAACCACATTACAGTAAGAGGGAACTAATCTGTAACTTTCCCAGTAACACATTCAGTTTAAACACAGGAAATTTCCTCACATTAACTGTTATTAAGAAGGATAGCGTCACAGTCTTGATATGAATATAGGTTTACACTATTACACACTAAAAATCCCTGGTTTAAACATTTACCCTGTGTGGGTAGTTTTTCTGAGGGTACACAATTCTATGAATATAAAACTAATATGTTACCGATGGGATATTGTATATTAAAATGGTACTCCTACAATTTAGTATGCTACTACCATCAAGTTGCACCAGAGAGCTCCAAAAATGCTGGATCCTACACCTCCCATGATGCAGCTCAACTCAAGCGCAGACACTCCCCGTCTTGTAAACACCGAGGTTTTTCACAATCCACAGCTCCAGTTTTATTTTCTGTTGTAATTTTGTAATCTCAAAGCACAAGATGAGATAAGGACGCAGACCAATGGAAGACATTGTAAAACTGTGTTCACATTTGACACCACTAGACTTCCACTTTAGTATAGCTCACCATTTAGATATATTCTGCATATAAAGATGTTAGAATCACTAGTTTAATTAATCTCTCACCATTGGCTCACCAACTTTCGCAGGGTAAGCTTCCCATGTAATGACGAGTGCGTTGGCGACTGGTCTGGCTGGGATGAAGGAGCAGGTCAAAGTGATATCACCTCCTCTCACTACCTCATATGCCCTCTCTGGAATAGAAACCTCTAAACTCCTGCAGCAGGGAAGCACTGAAAAAAAAACCCAAATACATAATGACAGATATCTCTTGCCTGGTCATAGTCTTTATCTAAGCACACATATGTAGGGGAGCGCGGGGCACAACTTAACATGGGCTAAATTGTAACATGGACTTTTTATGTGGTTACACAGGGTCAATCCTTTCGTGCTTGCAGCCATTTGACAACAATACCACCAAACAGTGACCCACAAAACTCCACAGAGATTGGACACCCTCTGCCTGTTACAATTAACCCTACCCATGGGGTACTTTGTCACATTTCACTTCCACCACTTCTCGTGCAATTGAAGAAAGGTAAGCTCTAGAAAAAAACAATAGCTGTTCATTTGTAGCAGAGATGTGCATGTTGTTAGAATAAAACAAAAAATGATTAATCTCAAACAGTTTTAATAACATTCAGCCCAAACTAAACTGTGTTAGGTTGTGCCCCGCTCTCCCATACACTTTAACTCTACATACGTCATGTGTTATTGGGTGACAGAGAAAAATTGGTAGGATTTAGTATGAACTTCGACTACGCTATGTTTGTATTAGTAAATATACAATACAGTGTGTATTTCTTTCAAGGCGAACTGAATTAATAGTTCAAACTACAGGCCTCTTTGAGTGAAACACAACCCTGCTTCCGCCTAAGGAGCAAGAAGTTGGATTAATGATTAACACAGGTGATAAAACCATACAGGTGTGGTTGTGGTTTTACAAAAGAGAAAGAATACAAGCATAAAGCCTACCTGTGAGTATCAGGAATACCTTCCATCCAAGCTGCATCTTTGTCGTCATTCCTGAAAGTGTCAAGCAAATGTCCAGCAAGTATAAAAACAGAAAGTGATGCTCTCGATCTAAGAGCAAGAGCCCGCCTAACCTTCACGGTCAATACCCATGTAAGGAGAAGTTTACGTTTCTGGGTAATGAGTCAACAGCTACGGGTCACATGTAACCAGAGGGCCAATCATTGATTTGCTATCCCTTTGATCAAACATGCCCAGTCGAGATATATGAGGTAAGGAGGGGTCTGTACAACGACAAGGGCTTCAATGATAAAATATAACACAGAAAAAGAGAAAAACAGACTGTTATTTCAATAGATAGATAGATAGATAGATAGGTAAACAGATTTCAATTTCAGTTTTATTTATAAAGCCCAATATCACAAATCACAATTTGCCTCACAGGGCTTTACAGCATACGACATCCCTCACAGCGGATAAGGAAAAACTCCCCCCAAAAAAAACCTTTAACGGGGGATAGATAGATAGATAGATAGATAGATAGATAGATAGATAGATAGAAAAAATGATTCGATTTTGGTGGTCAAGGGTAAAAGGTCAAGGCCACTGTGACCTTGTATCCATCTCATTCTCGTTAAGGTGCTATCTCAAGAACGCCTTGATCAGATTTCTTCAAATTTGGCACTAACATCTACTTGGATTCAATGATAAACTGATTAGGTTTTGGTGGTCAAGGGTTAAAGGTCAAGGCCACCGTGACCTTGCATCCATCTCTCAAGAACGCCTTGATCGGATTTCATCAGATTTGGCACAAACATCTACTTGGATTCAATGATGAATTGATTAGATTTTAGTGGTCATGGGTCATGCAGTCATGCAGAAATGCTGAGATATAGAAGACCTGAAAACACTGACCAATCAGAGCAGGCTGGAGTTTTCAGGCAGGGGGACTTCAAGAGACAGACTCTAAAATGGAGCGTCTCACACAGATGGTGAATACAGGTGTTCCAGCACAGAGGGTGCGAGGACAATAAAATGGTCTTTGAACATGAAAGCTTGTAAACATGTTCCTTGGAGAAACCCAAAATATAAGTATGAACCTGAGAATGAGCATTATAGGTCCCCTTTAAGTATCAAATTAATGTCAGAAACAATGTGCAAATTTTTTTAATCACCAATCTAAAATGAATAATTTAACTGACCACAGTCAGTAACTAAGTTGCTCAACATTTCAGTGGATTTTGACCATCCTAGCAAGTTACATTGTGTTGTGTATTGTTCATCCACATCTGGTGTTGTACTCCATTGGGCCTGCAGGTAGCAGTGTTGCACTGACAGTGACGCTGCATGTATTCAGTGCAACCAGATCACTGATCTGTAAATCCATCAGAGCACAAACAATCTTAAAAGAACATAAACTAAACAAGTGATCTTGTTTCTTTAACTTGCTGTGGTCTGAGCTGATGTGAAAGTAAAAAGGTGTGGAATGAAACATTAACTGATTGTTTGTTTTAAAACATGATGACTTGCAGTGTATTTGGAGAGATTTGACCTTGGTGACAAACAAGACAGTGCGCTCATTCAGTGGCTTTGGTGGCATGAGGTTGCAGATTTGGGTTTGACTCTGGACGTTGACTCTGCAATCCTTCTTGGGCCAACAAGTCAGCTGTGTTTAAGTATTCAGTCAAGCCCATGATTGACTGAATACTTCAGTTTGACTATTTGTGGTGTGTGTGAGAGGGAACCAAGTTCTGACATCTCTACAGAGGGGAAACAGGACATAGTACCACTCAATGAAAAAGGAAGCTTAACAAATCTAAACAAAAAGTTGACAGAGTATTGAATTTCTCCACAACACTAATAATATTGCACCATTTAAACAGTGAGTACTCAAGTAAAAGTATACTAGTGAAAGTTCTGTGTTAAAAATCATAATTATTAAAGTAAACTAAATAAGTAATTAAAAGTACAGAAATATTATCAGCAAGATATGCTCAGTGTCAAAAGTAACAGTACTCATTCTGCAGAAAATTGCCTCTGTACCTGGTATATTATTATTTATGACATTATGAAATTGTTAATACTGATGCTTTAATGTGTAAGCAGCATTTTACTGTTACAGCAGGTCGGGGTTTGATAGTTAAGTCCAGTGGTTCCCAACCTGGGGGTCGAGCCCCCTCCAAAGGGTCCCAAGATAAATCTGAGAGGTCATGAGCTCATTACTGGTGGCAAAAGTCTGAATAGTGCGGCAGGGAGGGGTGGTGGATGGGTTCAATAAACACCGACCTACCAAAACCATGTGTATTTGTTGCCTAAACCCAACAATGTGCATTAGTTGTTGGAGGAAAAAAACGTCAATTTGTGTTGTTGTACCGATGTAGTGCATTTATTTTGAAAGAGACTGTATGTAAACGTTAAATTTCCTGTGAAAACAGAAGTGTATTTTGAAAGATGACAATGCATGTAAGAGGCAGAACTTGACACAGCATCCCAGAACGTCAACAACCAACACACCCAGGGTACCTTGCACGTCTTATCTGGACGTGGAAAGTCCCTGACCAAAGTCGTTCTTGAACTCCATAAGGTAAAACAATGAGGTGAATACATCTTCAGGTGAACTGAATAAAGTATGAAAACTCTGAACATAATCAAATTGGAACTGGCTGTTAATAAATAGGAGTGCCACCACTATAACCAGTCCAAAGCATTCACTGGTTTAATCATTGAGGTACCACAGCAGTGAAATTACAAGTTTAATCATACTTAATTTACATTTACAGATTTATAAATATTGTTTTTGAATTTATTTTTCCTGTACTGTTCTGTACCACTTGCTTTCCAATCAGTTCTGTATGGTATGGAAATTAAATTTACAGACTTTGTTGTGCACAGATTAACCTGTTCAAAGGCCCTGGGAGAAACATTATCAGTTGAGCCCCAATTAACCCCTCGTGTGTTGTTGCCTTCCATCAAGTACAGTACACACAGTAGACTCAGTCGCAATCCTAGACTCTGGGGGACCCCAGGCTAAGAAGCCCATCAGGGCTTTGATGATTGTACCAAACGCTGTTTATATGACAATTCTAGGTGGCTAGCTGATTGTCCTAACCAACAGTGTTAGGCTGTCATACGGTAGTTAGAGGGAGCTCCTCTTAGAGCGTTCTGGGGGCAGCAGCGGGCACTGTATCGTGCCTTCATGGGAGGTTTAAGGGACATTTATGGTTGTCATCGAAAGATTGGGGGCCCGTTCTCACATATTTTTGTGGGAGGCCTCAAACATCTGCCTGGTTTGTCTCTCCTGACAGTGAACCAATGATAGACTACAACTTCATTTTATACACAGAGAACAGAAGATCGTCCTACACTAAAACAGTACTAGCTGACAACAGGTTTTGTGTATGCTGAGTTTTCGTAAATGTATCTGTTGTATATAAATGCATCTCCACATTGCCTGTACATTAGCTGCATATCATAGTGCCTTGAGATTTGTTACAAACTGTAAAGCCCTCACTCATCGTTGTACGCTTTACTCCAGGACTGGCTGGCCATCTTTGACCTTTTGGAGTCTCAGTCTTTTTTTGTTTTTTTTCATTTATAAAGCCATACTGGGCAAAGTCCCAACATACATTTGAACTGTGATTGAATAGAGATCTGACTGTAGTCTAGTCTTTTGTCTTGAGCTGGGAAAGAAAGCTTTAATGGACTCTGCTCTTTTCACCTGGAGTGGCCTCCAAAGAGATTTGAAACTAAGAGAATTGATCTCTTGGCCTGATTTTAAAGCTCTCATATGTACAAGGATTACTGAATCAGTTGGTATTTGTATTGTGCATGGGTATTTTAATATCCCTCCATATTTAAGTATATCTTCTATGTTTTTTGTGGTTATTGTCTATAACTTTTTTATGCTGCCATCTTGGCCAGCTCTTCCTTGAAACCCTTGGGAGTTACATGGGTTAAATAACATGAATAAAAAAGGACTTTGTATTGATGAATGTATACCATGTGAGCGAGGTATTACATGACATTTTGACACACGGCTCCAACACATGACAGGGTCACATCATCAGGTAATAATGCAGGCCGTGTTTCACTTAATACTTAGTGCTGCACATTTGTAATCAATCATATAACCCTAAGTGACATGCAGTGCACGTGGGCCTGCCCCATTAACTGTTGGTAATCAAGCCTTATGGAGCTGTGATCAATATTAAAGATCAAGTCTGCACTCATGTTGGCAGCGTTACACTGTTGTTGCATGGTTATACAGATGAAGTGCAGATTGATTTTAAAATTGCATTACCTCATAATAATACTTTAACTTTGATGGAAAACAATGTTGAATTGATGTGTGCACAACTTCTTAACACATTAACCCATTTTGTAGCATTTGTAGCTGATGTATAAGCAGTAAATTAATGATTGATAACAGTGTAACATACACAGCTTTAATCTTATGAACAAATCTTTATAGTGTCATAAAACATGTATTATTTATACACATGTACAGATCATTCAAATGTAACATTTAAACAGTTTATATATGTGTTCAAACATGTTGAGCTTGAAAATTTATTCTTGACCTCAGAAAAAAATCAAGATCTGTTTCCTGTTTTGTTCCTGGATCTTTCAGTTTGTAAAATGATTGTCTTAACCCTCAGGTGGGCCCGGGGTCCTCCCCCGGGCTGGGAGGCCTGGTGTGGGGGCTGGGTGCTGCCCGCGGGGGGTGTTCTGGTGCTGCGCAGTGTTGGCCTGCCCGTTTGTGTGCGGCCGGCGGTGGGGGGCGGGTCGGATGGGCTGGGGGTCCGGCTTTGGGTCTGTGGCGGTCTGGGGGGGTACTGGCGGGGTTGCGGGTTGGCCTGTGCTCCTGCGCGTCTGGGTTCAGGGGGGCTGGGTGGGGCCCGTCGTCCGTGCACCCTGGTGGCGCGCCTCGTCCTTCTGCTGGGGATCGATTTGCTGCAGGCGGTGTGGCCCAGGTCGGGACCATTACGGGGGCCTGACGCTGCAGTTGCTTGGGGGGCGGGGTTGGGTGGGGGCCCGTTGGGTTTCCTTGGGGCCCGCCTGGCCCGCTGTCCATGGGCGCTGGGGGCCTCGCGGTGCCGGGGTCTGGTTGGCGCCACCTTCTAGCCCCTCCCATCCATCC